AATTATCAGCATTGAAACTTGTTATCTTGCTAATCCGCATATTAAATTAATCTTCCGTACTGCCTTTTCACGAACCTAACAAGCGAAGAATGTTCGTATTGTATAAATGTAAGTTAAAAAGAACATACCTGAGAAACAGAAGAACATAAGTCCAAAATGTAAAATGGAAATGTACCTCCGTGTAGGTCTTGTATCGCGTTGCTGGCAAGACGTGATGCATCGTTCGCTACACCGTCCACTTTACACATCTTCTTTGGCCTGTTTAACTTCGTAAGTTCGATGTCCATCGATCTTCTCCTCGACTTTCCTTCCGCTAGTATCTTACGCCAGTCGAACGTGCGTTCGAAAGACGTGCTCTTTAATTTGGCCAAAGCTTCAGCTTGTACTTCCAGAAAATTGTATATAATTTCTTCTTCCGGATCAGCAAAAATGTCCTTTTCAACAGAAGAAACAAGAAAAAATTAGAATATAACATTGTTGCATTCATTGGTATTTACAAATACACGTAAATTAAATATCTTTACATACATATATTATATAATTTGGAGGGAATCATATATTTAGAAACAATATATTTAACGTTTCTATATAGAAATAGCTAAGCAATACGTGTACAAGATCAAAATGTTGTTTTTGGAGTATTTGTTGGAGCAAATAAATATACGAGCCTCTCTTTAAAAAAAACCATCTTTTGATGCAATATGATAGTTCACAAAATCTCATGGCGACAAGCGTATTATAAAATCGATATTTTATAACGTACATTTTATTTAAGAGTATTATGTACGTAATTCAATTTTGCATTAATTATTTGCGAAAGATTTCCGTAAGATTAATTGATTTCCTCGACGTACTTCTTTTCGAGAAGCGATTTCCTCCTTAATGAACTCGTCGATCGTTAAGCGTCTATCGGCCGCAGAGACTGGCAAAGGGGGCAACAAAGTTTCTCTACGCTGCTCCTGATACTGCTCCGGGAAGAGGAACACGACGGTTTCCTCAAAGATTCTGTCCTGCAGGTTCAGGATCTCGCGTATCTTGCGCTTCTTTGTCCTCGCCTCCTGTCGCAATCTGAGAACGGGCGCGCGTTGTCTCTCAAGAATGTCTTTTCTCAGTCCTTTTTTCTCCAGAATCAGTCGTTGCATGCGCTTTACTTCCATTGACATCCATCGTTCCTTGGCTTCCTCGAGGAATTGCCAGGGTTTCCGACGCTGTGTATCACGGAATTAATTCAATGAAGGGATATCAATTTCTTTCCTCACTCGTAAGTAATGCCTGACTGATTGGCACCGGAAAAATTATTATTACCGAGATATTATTCGTTTAACTATAAACGTTAGATTGGAACGTGATTATCCAGTAACGCGGATTGCTTTTCAAAGCGCGCTATGAATAGAATAAAAAATTCATTGAATTATTTATCAATGTGGAATGTAAAATTGCTCGTACTGCGATCGATTTCGCAGGTACAATCGCGCGAGCTTCTACTTCGACCATTTCGACTTTAATCTTTTCCTCAGCCTCCAGACGCTTTTTTTGCTTTTTCATTTCTTCGCCCAGCTTTTTCTTTATCTCGATATCCTGGGGATTTGTTTCGCGCCACGTTTCTTGCCAGGTTTTAAACTCTGTTATCTGATCAAATACGAAAATAGAAAATCATAGATGAATAAAGAAATTTTACAGCCGTTGGCGATAAAATTTACGGTGAATCACTATAAACATATCAAAACAAAAAGAAAAATCTTTTTTTTTATTAACATGGCTCTCAATAAGATCCAGTAGATTTTCGTCTTATAGAAATAAAGTTTTATGAAGCGTAACGAAGATCTATGTACTATTTAAAACACTCTCTTTCGTGCATCGTGTTAAATGCATTGACAAATATTACGTATATGTCGTCGTTTGTAATAAATAAAAAAATGATTAATTGTAACATTTTTACAACATTTACAGTAACACATTAATTATGTCTAATGATTAATTGGACATAATTAATTAGATCAATTATCAACTTTATTATTCCTGTTGTTCAAATGCAATTTCCTTCCTTTCCGTCCGATAAAATTATATTTGTCTTTTGAAAAATAAGTTTCGAGTTGCTTCGCTTGAACATCTAATCGATATCACTCGCTGTCGCGTCTCTTTTTATGACTCTTACTCTTTTAACCTGTCGATCGACGAACTTTTTCATCCACTCAACGTCGCTCATGTCATATGTCAGCAAGGTACCTGGCGCTATGAACATTCTTAGAGAGCCAGTGAAGTCACAAAATCCGACACATTGCGGCTCCAGCGGCAACTTGTGCGTATAAATGCCTGTAATTATCTGTCCGGACACGCTTTGCGTGAAATTCGGCTCGTAGCTTTTGACTCCGAGATCCCAAATTTCTGCGGTGCCGTCCATTCGTCCTAAGATCAAAACGGTTGGACGGAAAATACCCCACGAACACGCCGTATATCTGTATTTTATAAAATGTAGGAGTGAAAATAAATCGTATCAACGATGGTCAGCACTAATATAAAATTTTATATAAAATATATTTATATAAAATTCAATTTCTGTGGCAATTTTAGACAAAAAGATTCATTTGTAAATTTTCACATATCTGTAGAAAATCTGTAAAAATCCAATAAAATATATATAGAGTTAATAACGTCACATGTGTCTGTTGAATGTTTGAATCGTTAGAGTATCAGCTCGACAACGATTGATAATGACTCTCGCGGCGATGCGACCGCGCACGGCCATACATTCAAAATAGCTTTCATTAACACCGTAGTAACAGTACGCGAGCGTTGTAACTGTAAGTTATGATCGTATTGTCATGCAGATCATACTGTGAAAGTTCGGCTCTCGCTGTCGAAAACTATGCGCGGAGCGTGAAACGCGAGAACGAACGTCGGTGCTTGTGCCGAGCAATACGAAACACTATCGTCGCAATTACATGCTGTGCATTGCGGCAATTTATCGCGCGGGGTTGCCCCGTTATTTTTATTGCGAATGAAACCCATGCGCGTGCTGCTGCGCTTATGTATATTCATGACCATGTTTCGTTAACTCCCGCGGTATTGACGTTTCTCCTGGAAGAGTAATTTCTCCGCGCGCGCAATTCTCGCGATCTCCCGTCCGTAGTTATTTCATCGCGTAATTCCGTCTCTCTCTCCCTCGCTTTTTGTTTCCTCGCATTTTCTCACTTTGTACGTGCAAATCACTTAGCGTCCGGCGATTCAAACGTTTGCTTTGACGCGCGAAAGCGGAAACTCAGTTTGCTTTAGTCGGACGATACTCGGAAAGTTTTTCGCTCACCCGACATTGGACTTCTTCCAAACGAGCGGTTCGCCGAAATCATCTCGCCACACGGCGAAGATCTTGCCGCCCACTGTGACCACTACTTGATGGTAATAATTGGATCTGACCGAATACGTCACAGGTCCGTCGTGCATCCTCTTCATCCAAAGCCATCGCGCCGTTTCGCGATTCACGCTCACGTCGGTGGCGAATTCGTAGCCAGTCCACGTTATGCAACCAAAATCACCTGTTGCCGTCGTTTACACTTTAATCTACTTTACGCCGTTGATATTAAATTAGATCAATCTTATTTAGGAGATTAGAGTTTAATTAATTGTGTGTATGTGTATTTAACGGCATTTGAATTGCATTATACTAATAAATTCGGGAATTATTATCGCGTTTCTCTCTGTGCACGCATCGCAACCGGAAATCGAAATCGCTGTATCTACGAGAAGATTATGCAAGGTCGTTTACCTTCGACGGTGCCGACGAGCATCTTCGGCTCCATAACGTAGTCCGGTTTCTCGATTATGGATTTGTAGTACTTTCTAATTGTGATGTCGTCCCTTACCGGGAATGATTCGACTTGTTCCTTACGAAATTTGGGGGTGTACATGCTGAGCGTCGTTATCACGACCTGCCGGCTCACGTCCGGATATTGAACCACGAGGATATAATCAGGCTTTAATACGCGATCGAGGATCTTAAAGGATGACTCGGGTTGCACGGTATCCAAGTGTTTTCTTTTCTTTCGCTTGCTGACTTCTCGAATATCCTTCTTCGAAGGTCGCGATCTTTTAAGACATCGTTTTCCATTAGAAATAAAATACGTCTCAACGTTATCTCACTTCAGGTAACGTTAAAATGCGAATGAGCTATTAAATTCTTAATGCGTACTTTACACAATGCTTTTATCGATTTAATCATCTATTGTAATTAATAGATAAAATTTTAATAGCCGATAAGCTATAGTCATAATCCATTATATATAAGATTGTCCTCTATTCGAATAGAAATTTATCTCTTCCGATGCAATTTATACCTTTTCGTCAGTAAACGGCAGAATAGAATGTAACCTCGTAAATATCATACCAATTTCATGCTAAGCGAGGAAACAATTCACTAGTGTGCGAACATCTGCATAGCCATTGTGGCACGATCGAAATGAAGAGCGACTCTCCCTCGCACCTCACTGGCTGTGCACAGAGAGATCGACGATGCTGAGGAGGTTGGTAGTTGGCAGGTCCTAAGGACTACTCCGATTGGTAAGGGATGCGGGAAGGGTTAGAAGCGAGGACTGAATACCGATCAACGATTATAGAGGGATGGTCTATCCATTTTCGGACCATATAAACGCCAACTTCGGAGAATCCAAGAGCGGCGGAGAGTCAAGTCGGCAGGACCATTACGGTTCCACAGATCGGGGGAGTTTCTCGAGAAGGATGAGGGCAGAGATGGGAGGAAAGCGGAAAGCGGGTCGACGTCTCGCGTCCGGAGAGAAGGACTCGAAAGGCAAGTCAAACGGCGCGACGGAGGCGGTGTTCGCTCTTTAACGTTTAGCTTGCGACAAGTTTCGCGCCCGTGGAACATTCGAAGTCGCTAACTTCCAGTCTCGGGAGATATGGACGGCTTCGGACCAGCCTTTCTCGTGGTTGCCAATTGCTGGTTCAGATCTCTCGAAGTCGCACCCATCATTTATCTGCCGTTCTAGTTCCGTTCTTGCATTTTTAAAGAAAATTCTATGGTATTTTGTCGAACGACAATACCAAACATTACAGAAATAAAAAATAAATTTTTGAACAGCAAATATATTGAATATTCTAATATCTTCATTTTTACAACAACGGACAAGTTTGCGATGTCCGATAATTTATAGAAAAATTTCGACGATTTTCATGTGACTTCGAGTATGGCACGTTTTAATTTTTAATATACAATTTTTAATTAATAGAACTATTCGAGAAACACACAGTATTAATATAATATCGTTCTTAATATTTGCATAGATGTCAATATTTTTAAAATTCTGATGAATATGGACGATAATATCTTTAATCATTTCATAAATAAAGATATATTAAAATGTATTTCATATAGCAATTAAAAGTAATACATAAAGTTTTTATATGCATGAGATCTTTTCTCGTTTAAAGGTTTAAAAAGTCTTCCTTAAATATTCTATAAACTTTCAAGTAGAAGAAGCTACCATATTGGTGGCGGAGAGCCATTTGCTCGATCTTTATTACAAAAACGTAGACTGCATTTACAGGAAATGTGTTTCGTGATATATTTTCTCAATTACTTGTGCATTGCGCTACAAGACATAAGTGCCAGCATTTAAAGTGCACTTAGCTCATATTTATTACATAAAAACTGTTCACTTTAGTTATTTTTAATCATTTTACTATACACTACTCTTAAATTAAAAAGATATTTTCTTCATAAATAGAAGAAAGAAAAGAGAAAATATTCAGACTAATTTAAAATTGTAAAAATATATTTACGACACCAAAAGAAATATATATTAACTAATAAATTTATTAAATTGTGAATAGACCATCTAGAATAAAATACTTACTTGAGATCCCAGAAAGCAATAGTGCCATCTTGACTGCCGGTTACGAATTGCCAAGTTAGATCGTCCAAGGGCGCGTCTTCTGGTAAGGATGTGATCTGACCGTTTTTGTCGACCTTATGATGCGAGGGCACCCAGATTATCTGGGTGATGCCCGCCTTCTGGCTGTACTTCAGCGAGGACATCGCTGCCGGACTGATCAACGACGTCTCCGTCGTCTCGTGCATCCATGTCATCAAGCTCCTCATCGCGATGCTGTACTTCGCTTGGGCAGCTGTTTGCGCTACCACCACTTCCAACTGCTCGATTTTGCCGGGAATGTGCCAGATGGCGATCTACAACAACGGTACGGATGTATTTTACCGCCATCCACTTGTTCCCCTCATCTTGTATCACCCTAGACTTTTGAGTTTCACGATCGTAGCTTGTAACGTAATGTTTTCCTATACATCGGTACGATGACCGCGTGTAGGAAAAACATTTTATCACAAGTTGTGCGACTGTTTTCTTATTCAAAATTTGCTAAGTCAAACTTGTAAAAAGTATCAAATGATCAGAACAATTTCTGTCATTTTCAATATTAAAAAACATTTAAAAAATTGAAAATATAAACTTAATATGTGTACTGACAACACTGAATGTAACATTTCTTGTTAATAAAAGTTAGTAGAAAAGTTAATGGAAATGTTTGTCAATAAGTAGGAAAAATGCAAATACTAAGAAATTTAATGGTTATGTGATTAAACTTTGCATAATTATTTCGTTGGTTTCCCACATTGTGATTTATATAAAAAAATATCGAGTGGTTCTAATTCAATTGATTCAATGCTTTTTAGTAGAGTTTAATTATTTTGCACACCACAAAATTTATAATGTCGTTAATACCTGTATCGCATATAGGTTATAAATATCAGTTTACCTGTAAATTGCAGTCGCAATGAGCTGATTAACATATCAAGACGATCGCTCATCGTTAGATTCGGCATTTTTGATGCTCGTTTGTTTACGAAGTTCCCGAGATGGGATGAACAAAATCACAATAAAAACGAGAAATAAACACGACGCGATTCAATTACACATCACTACATATCGAATTCTTCACGCGATTTATTCAACTTTGTGCTGACAATGAGAGTGACAAGTAGTGTCAATCCGGAATTTGTTACATAACCTATTTAATTTTGTATGTTTACTCAACGTGAAAACATTTTTTAGCGATACAAGATGTTATTTTTTTGTAATTCCTTCTGTGATATTTTCACAAATATCTCAATGAGTCGTTGCGACGTTAAGAAATTTTTTGCGTTGCACGAAATTAACTATGCTCAAACATTCTGCCAATCTAACTTAAATTACTATAAATAGTAATTTCTTATGTCGCGTAAACGCGAGGGGTCAGGCGAGTCGCGTGACGAGCCGCTCAGTTCGCGTCGCAGATCATTGGTGTGTAGTTGAATCGTGAATCTGCGTCGTGTTTTCGTACCTTTTTGTTCGTTTCAAGAGAATTTTGCGCTCAAATTGATATCAGAACTATTGAATCTAGCGATCGTCTTGGTATATTAATTAGCTCAATTGGGTTTGGCGACTGTAATTTATAGGTAAGCTGATATTTTTAACTGATATGCAACATTTCACTTTCCGCCAATTTGGCATCTTTAGAAACGATCTGTTTTATAATACATGCGTTTCATGAAATTTGTAGTTCGTAGACCAATCTCGAGTGGTTTTATTTTTTATTATAATCTGATTCTTTCAATGATATTAATATTTTCATGAACATCTCAATAAAACGTTTTACTTCGCAAGGTCATACGAAGTTAAGCGCGCGTAAATATTCTGCCAGTGTAGCGTTCCTAAATAACATATTTTTTGTGTCATATAAGGGTATATCTAGATAAACTTGTATCTGCGTATGCGCATACGCATTGTCTGGATATACTCTAAACACGCGAAGTCGAGCGAATTGCGCAACGAATTTGAAATTACTCACGTTCGCGCTTTGTCGCGCTTGTAGTTTGCATTGCGGATCGTTAGGGTGTTGTCTAGTTTCCGGTTTTTTGTCTGTTTGGAGAGAAATAGTTTAAGAACAGATGAATATCAGAAATACCATAGCTATCACATTTATCGATGGGCGATTATCTTGGTATGTTAATTAGTTTATTGCGACTGCAATTTACAGGCTAATATTTCTAACCTGCGGAGCAATTTCAACAAAGTGTTGCATCGCTAAGAATTTTTTTTATCGTTCTCGAATGCACGAAGTTAGGCGCGCGTAAATGTTTCGTCAGTTGGTGTTGTTCGTAAAGAATTATTTCGTATTGTATATATATGCACATACAAATGCACGAAGTCGGATAAGTCGTGTGACGATATTGAAACTGTCGAAATTTTATAGGTTATGAGTACACCGCTGAATTGCGATCGTATTGCGTTTTCATTTTTTATTCATTTTAGGTAAAGTTTATGTAAAAAATAAATGTCGAATCTAATGACAGGCTATTGTTTTAATATTATTAATTTTTGCGAAAACGTGACTAATACGTCTCTTGGTATCAATAACCAATGTACGCTTATGTTTACTTTCTTTATTTTTGTTAGTGTTTCGGCGTGTCATCTAATACGCGTATTTTTACATATTTTGCAGCTCGTCTGATCAAGTAGAATCGAGAGAATCAGCTAGGGATCGTCGCTACGGATTAATATGGACAAGTGATCCCGTATGCATGCGATATTCACGTTACGGTTGTTGTTGGCGCTTGCTGTGTCGACCTGCGTCACTCGAATTTTCACGTTGGCCGAAAGCGCGTTGCGCGTGACAAAGCGAGAGTGCCGAATAGATCTCTGTGCGATCGTGATGTGTTTTTCGATATTCGTGATTGATATCGATCGCGCTACGTCGTTCAAAGAATTTGTTTACGAATGCACGCGTTTCGCGTTATTCGGGAGTGTACCGAGCAACATTGAGAGATCACAGTACTGAATTAATGGAGGGAGAAGATCACTGCTCATCAATGATGTTGAGGTAAGTGTTAAAAAAAAGTGTTTACTATTAAATTATCAAATTTTTGTTATCAAATTTTTCTCTATTTTTGAGTTTTTAAAATAACTATATTCTCAGATAAAAAACAAGAATGAGGATATATAAAAAATATTATATTTGTCAATATATGTGTGTATAAGTATTTGTAAATTACCTGGCCATTTATACATCCACCTATAATGATACTGCCATCGAGAGGGCAAACAGAAATAGATGTAACTTCTCGCGGACATTCGAGAATCAATTTAGGTGATAAACAGTCAGTGAAGGACCATATTAGTACTCGGTTGCTTCTTTCACAAGCTAAGAATACCTATACATAAAAACACATTATTTTGAATAAATTACATTTTTATATTTAATTAAAATAAAAAATTTTTTTCTACATAAATAATTTTGTTTTAAAAATTTAGTCAATTCAGACAGATTTTACGGGCAAAATGCATATGATAAATATATTCAAGAATTAATATGACCCCTGTCGAGCTGGCCCCCCCCCCACCTCTCACAAATAAAAAAACCAATAGCGCAAAATTATAAGCTATTTATGAGCTTTCATATTCCGCAAATTAAAATTTTTGAGCTCGACACGCTGAGCATAAATTTAATGTTTTTCGTAAGGGGGCTGAGTCCATATCGACTCAGCCCCCTCCTCCCACCGCTTAAAAATAAAAATATTGGATCAATCTTTGCGGTAGAATTAAGAGCTATTTATGAGCTTTTGAACTGATATAGTTTCGATTTTTAAGCTCACCCCCTTAGTCCTCAAACAACTCTTAATTGATGGAACTCAAGAGAGAAGTACTAGAAAAAGAAAAAATACATTATATTTCAAACGTGGTATAAAATTCCAAGAATAAACCTTTAAAATATTTGCATTTTGATTATTGAGTTGCAACTCCTTTACAAAAAAACCACCTTTCATCTTACCTCTGTAAAGTTGGCTTCCCATTTTTCAAAATTGAAAAAAATGATTAGAGTTCTGGATGCCCCTCGAGGAGTTCTAGAGTTCTCAGACCATTTTAGAAAGAGTTCTGCCATTTAAAGTAAAAAAACACCATTTGAAAAATCGGGGGGCTAACTTCACGACACCCCCCATTATGTAAAAAATTCAAATTTTTTTATAGTTCTGAGTAGATTTCAAATAGAGTTTTATAGTTCTAGATAAGTTTTAAAAATAATTCTGCTTAAAATACTACGTAAATTACATTTGAAATTCTCGACTCAGAAAACGAAAAATAGCGAGAACTCATTCAATTTTGATTTTAGCGTTTCGAGCCTTAAGGATAATCGTTAGAACTCGTGAGGGGCTAGAACTCTTCAGAGGGCGTCCAGAACTCTCAACAGAACTGCCGGTTACCGAGAAAAATTTTTGTTAAAATTTTCTAATTAGAAAAAATTTTTCTCGGCAGTTCTGTTGAGAGTTCTGGACGCCCTCTGAAGAGTTCTAGCGATAATTATTAACACTCGAAGCGCTCAGAGGTAAAATATAAAAGTTCTTGATGATTAAAGTTTCGGATTCAAAAAATTTCTAATTGTAAGTCCTACAGGTATAAAAATTTTCACGGTAACCGGCAGTTCTGTTGAGAGCTCTAGACGCCCCTCGAAGAGTTCTAGCGATAATTATTAACACTTGAAGCGCTCAAAGGTGAAATAAAAAAGTTCTCGATGGTTGAAGTTTCGGATTCAAAAAATTTCTAAGTCCTACAGGGAAAAAAATTTTTTCTCGGTAATCGGCAGTTTTGTTGTGAGTTCTGTATAACCCCTCACGAGTTCTAACGATTATCCTTAAGGCTCGAAACGCTACAATCAAAATTGAACGAGTTTTCGATATTTTTTGTTTTCTAAGTCGAGAATTTCAAATTTAATTTACGTAGTATTTCGAGCAGAACTATTTTTGAAACTTATTTAGAACTATAGAACTATTTGAAATCTACTCAGAACTATAAAAAAATTTGGATTTTTTACATAATGGGGGGCGCCGTGAAGTTAGCCCCCTGATTTTTCAAATGGTGTTTTCTTTACTTTAAATGGCAGAACTCTTTCTAAAATGGTCTGGGAACTCTAGAACTTCTCGAGAGGCATCCAGAACTCATCAATCATTTTTTTCAATTTTGAAAAATGGGGGGCCAACTTTACAGAGGTAAGATGAAAGGTGGTTTTTTTGTAAAGGAGTTGCAACTCAATAATCAAAATGCGCATATTTTAAAGGTTTATTCTTGGAATTTTATACCACGTTTGAAATATAATGTATTTTTCTTTTTCTAGTACTTCTCTCTTGAGTTCCATCAATTAAGGGTTGTTTGAGGACTAAGGGGGTGAGCTTAAAAATCGAA